ACTTTTCTCTTCCTATATGAAGTCAGTTAAGGAAAATTATGAGGTTAATATCAACTTACTCGGTTGAACAAAGTTTCGAGTTATAAGCCTGCGCAAAAATTCCTGATGTATAATAGTTGCTTCATTAATATTACTGAGCTATGAAAGCATAACCTCTTTTTACCAATCAATCATTCCACCAACATCTCCCTCTCTTTTTCGTTGTTAAGGTCATATGAGTTAAAAATTGTTTCATCAATTAACTCAGTACGTTTATTGTGTGGTTCGATGAAAGCCCATATGTTTTAAAGGGAAGAATATATTAAGTACAATGTAAAAGACAGAAGTAACTCAGTAATAATATAATGGTTTGAGGAATTGAAACAAATGCAATAAATGAGAATGATGAGGATAATGAGAACAAAACATATTTATACATAAATATAAGTGGTGTAAAATATCCCCCCTTCTTAGTACAGAAGGCAGCAGCCTTCTGTGGGGGAGGAAAAACCAGATTCCGGCTTATAACGAAATTAGGAAAAGACGACGTAAATGGATAGGACATACATTACAGAAATCACCAAATTGTATCACGAGGCAAGCCCTAACTTGAAATCCTGAAGGGGAAGCGAAAAAGTGGAAGGCCAAAGAACATATTAAGTCGGGAAATAGAAGCAGATATGAAAAGGATGAATAACAACTGGAAAGGATTGCTTAGGACAAGGTTGGATGGTGAGTGCTGGTGGGTGGCCTATGCTCCTCTACGAGGAATAACAGGTGTAATTAAGTATGTCAGTACTCATACATAAGAAAACATGACGAATAGATTTTAAAATGACTCTCAAAAAATCTCACTGCTAACATCACTTCAGTAGATGATGGTGAATATATAACGTGCATGTATTTGTATGTGCCTAAGTGTGGAGAAATTTCAAAGCGTGAAAGAACCATTGAATGAGAAGCAGGAGAGAATTGTTAATAAGAGATAGTGAGGAGAGGTCATCATCAGTAAAGTTCTTATTGATCAGTTGTAATTGTTTTGACTTTTTTCAACAGAAAATTTTTTGTTCAATAGAACAAACAAGAACGATAACACATACTTTTCTTTCCTGTAATCGCTTTTATTATTATTATTATTGCTATTTATATCGTTATTACTCCGATACCCATTGCCGGAAATAAAGAAAAAATTCTGAAGTATTCTTTTACTTGTTCTTGAGGCATGCCAACCAATCAACCAAGTAGCAAATCACCTGAACAATAATTTAGTTAGGTTGGTAGGCGAGTAGAAAGTTGGATAAATTTTTAAGTTTGAATGAAAATACAAACACACACACACACTAGAAAAACATATCTCAAGATGCTGGTACTTCATTTAGACATGCTCCCTATTTAATATTAGCCCTTATCCATCAAAATGATAATAATAATTTATTTTATTACATTTAATAACTTCCTCATTTTAGTCTGCATACCGGAACCGTGATGGCTAATTTGTGTCTTAATGAGTAGGTCTGAAAATACTTCTATATTTATATATATATCCCTCAGTCTTATCTATAAGATAATTGTCTACAATGTACACAATAATGATCTTCAGTCATTTACGTAAATAATTAATATCTAATCACTTGTTGTTTAATGATCATTCTACTTGATAGGTCAGGCTACAACTTATAATATTTAGAAAAAAGAGGAAGTCGGTAAGTTTTATTGTGTGTGGGGGGGGAGGCTGTATGTACTGGTGAATCAGATAAGCGTTAAAATTTATTATTTTTTTTAAAAGAAAGAAGAAAGAATTTTGAATGAAATGAGTTTTACTGAGGAGAAACAAGACAAACAAAATAAAAATTGTCATTACAATATGGGATGACAGACATTTCAGGTCATGTATCCCATTGAAGTTGAAGTTGAAGTTTACTCTTTGACATTTTCAAGTAGAAGAATGAAGACAAATGGTTTTTTCTTTTTGAGTTGACTGTCATTATCCAGTAATGAATGTAACCTCATTGAGATATACACATATCTTTATGGAGCTATTCAATAATGAATAACATGTGAATAATTTACGTAGTACATTGGAAGATACGAATCAGCAAAAAGAAAAGAAAAAAAGGAAAACAATAACACCTGAGTATATTATTGACCTAACTCAGTTCTATCAACAATTTATTCATTGGGTGAATTCTAAACTCTACTTAACGTTGTACAAAACATCAAAGGGTGTTCTATGGATAGTATTCCTTTTTCATCTTATTATCAAATTTAAATAGGAAATCAGTGTAATCTCATATTATCCTTTTATAAACCAGGAAGTAGATGATCATTTTTTTTATTTCTTTTCTTTTTCTTTTTTTCTGTTTTTGCAAAGAAACACGAGATTGTTTTTTTTTCTTTCTTCCCAAAATTGTTTAAAACTATATATATATATCATTGTTACTATTATTGACACGACCTAAAAAAGTAATATTTTCCTACATCTATCTCTATGTGAAAATAGTTAATCTTTTAACCTGAAAAAGAAAATCAGCAATCTTTTACCTTCCTACTCTCATAGTGATTATGTTTTAGTTTTTTTTTAAAAGAAATAAATAAATAAATAGAAAGGTTTAAATTAGGTGTGAAGAGAATTGGGCGGTTAAAACAAAGTATAGTGTAATAATTATAGTCGGAATATTATATATGACCAGTGACCTATTTATAAAATTTATTCTTATTATTAATATAAACTTGATTAGTACACGTTTTGATAACAGTGTTTATACTTACCTATATGTCAATGATTCTCTTTTTTGTGGTGGTGGTGGGGGGGTAGAAATAAAAATAACATTTGGACATGAACTATTTCTGTAATGGTTTTTATCTTTTCGCTAATAATTGACTAGATCCAGTATGAGAATACGGACAAAGATTGAAGTATGTGATGTTGGAAATAATTTGGCACGCCTTGACAATAATAATAATCTATCACTGTTCAACTGCACATAGTAGGAATTCATCTAAAAGCAAACTTATAATAAAAAGTATTTGTTTTTTTGTTCCCTGAAACACTACTTACTTACTGACACCTGTTACTCCCAATGGAGGCTGTCGACCAGCATTCTCCAACCCACTCTGTCATCGAACCTCCCTTCCAGTTCTGTCCAGCTTTTGTTCATTTTTCTCATGTCTGTCTCCATTTCTCGGTCTAATGTGTTCTTTGGTCTTCCGCTTCTTCTCTATTTGGCCTTCAGGATTCCATGTGAGGGCTTGCATTGTGGCACACAGTTAGGTGCTTTCCTCAATGTGTGTCCTAACCACTTCTAACGCTTTTTCCTGATTTCTTCCGTCGTTGATATCTGGTTTGTTCTCTCCCACAATAGGTTGTTGCTGATAATGTCTGACCAATGGATCCGAAGTATTTTGTGTGGGCAACTGTTAATAGATACTTGTATCTTCTGGATGATGGCTTTCGTAGTTCTCCAGGTTTACGCGCCATACAGTAGAACTATCTTGCCCACCCCATACGGTAGGACTGTTTTGACATTTGTATTGAAAATCCCGACTTTGGTGTTGGTTGACAGACAGTTGTTTTGAGTTCCATATATTCTTCAGCTGTATATATGCTACTCTTGCTTTGCCGATCTGCACCTTCACATCTGCATCAGATCCACTGTGTTCATTCATGATGATGCACAGATATGTAGAGGATCTTACATCTTCCAAATCTTCTCCGTCAAGTGTGATTCGATTGGTGCATGCTGTGTTGTATCGGAGAATCTTGCTGTTTACTTTGTGTATGTTGAGACCTACTGCTTCTGAGGCTGCTGCTGCTACACTGATCGTCTTCTCCTGCATTTGTTGTTGCATGTGCGATAGAAGAGTCAGATCATCTGCGAAGTTTAGATCGTCCAGCTTCATCCTAGATATCCACTGTATCCCATGCATCCTTTCAGATATTAACGTCTTTATGATCCAGTCGATCACCAGGGAAAAGAGAAAAGTAATTCTCTGAAACATGATGAACACAAAATGAATGAAATAATATACACAATATGGTAAATATAACATCATGGTTACTTAATTAAGTCTTACAAGATAAAATAATACTGTCGAATATAGATGTTTTAGTTTTCTTTCTTCTTAAAAAATGATACAATATTGTAAATCTATGAACCAGAAAATATACTGTAGTAACTTGTGTACGCCTAATGATAACACGAAGGAAAAGTATACATATCGTTATGATGGAGTGATCAACGGAGTTGTGAGAAAGATCACAGTGCTAGATACGTAAATCAATGTTACAATGTTTCATATTTATTGGTGAATAACTCTGAAAAGTAACATTAAACACACTGTTGGGTTTTATACATTTCAATGTTGATAAAATCGGTTTCTATTTAACTATATTCTCATTGTTTTATTAGGATTTAAATAAGTATTGACATAACTAATTGAATAATTTTTCCGGGTAATTTAAGTGTTTAAATTGGAAGTTTTCTTATGAAGGTGGTCGTTACATTTTAATCTTACTAATACATGTTTAATATCAAATATAATTTCAATGGTTGAGATTATGAGATGTAGTGACCAGTGAAGTTCTACCGAGTCTGTTGTGAGATCGTAAGTCACTGAAGATAATGATGGATGTGTCGCCGAATTTCGTGGATTGGTTGAAGTTAGACCTCAGTGGTCTAGAGATTAAGCGCTCGCGCGCGAGGCCAACAGGTCCTGGGTTCGAATCTCGTGAGGCGGGGTTAATAATGAACAGTGCTGAAAAGTCCCACAATAGGACGAAACGGACGTCCAGTACTTTCAGGTTTTCCATGCTGATCTAGATTCAATTGACTCTTGGTCTCAACCATTGATAATACATGTTTAAATGAATATCGTATTTGAGCATTATACACAAAATATTCAACCAGATTTTATTCAATTTTATTCACACACTTTTTGTTTCTTTTATATAACATTTGTAAAGTAACAATTGGTGTTTTTTTATTTAATTACAATTTGACTTACACAAACATTTCTCAAAGAAAAAAAAAGAAGAAATACTCATGGTTACAAAGGAAATTAATGAAAATTCAGTTGCAGAACGTTTACATCAACCTGTACCTTTAGATTTATCTTATCATTCATCAATTTCAAATGAATCAAATATTTCTAATCAATTATCAATTTCAACAATAACAACACCATTTATTAATAAATATGATAAATCTACTAATATACAATTAAGTAGTTTACAACATACATGTATTAGTATACCAATTAAAACATCACAATTAAATGATAAATTCAATAATCAATTATATTTTCCACAATCATCTATTATAGAACAAGTGAATACATTATATAGATCTAATTTAGAAAAATTACAAATGTTTTATACATTGAAAAGAAGTCAATTAAAATCTATGAATGATTTATATCATTCACCATTAATAACTATACCACCACCTGAACAATTATTAGCATTAACAATGTTACATAATCATAAATCTATTAAATTCACTCCAATAATCAACACGAGTAATAATAATAATAATATTTCATTGTTACCAAGACAATTAAATCAAACTATTAAAAACGACTTAGTTACTAATTTATCTTCAACTATTCCGTCATTATATGATAATCAATTCATCGATTTAAACAATAATAATAATAATAATAATAATAATAATAATAATAATCAATATTGTAATTCAATTCCATTTGAATTAATATCGATTTATTTAAAAATGTTAGAAAAATCAAAAAATTTTAATGAAATTTACAATAATGATGGTAGTAACTATTCCTATGAAACTATTTATAAATGGTTATCATTACGTAAGAATATTTATACAACAATCGATAAAGATTTAAATAATCCGCCTTTGAATTATCCAATTAAAACAAAACTTTCACAAACAGTAGTTCATGTTGAAAGTGATAATAATAATAATAATAATAATAATAATAACGGTATTAAGAATATACCTAAGAAACATAAAACAATAACAAGTGTTTTAGATGTATTACCATCAGATAGTATAGAAGTAGTACAAGGATTATTATCAACATGTGTAAATCATTTTACACCTAAACGTGAACGTTATACATGCCATTTTTGTGGTAAACTATTTCCTAGATCAGCTAATCTTACTAGGCATATACGTACACATACTGGTGAACAACCATATAAATGTATACATTGTCCAAGATCATTTAGTATTAGTTCTAATTTACAACGTCATATACGTAATATACATCAAAAAGAAAGACCATTTCACTGTAATGTTTGTTTAAAACGTTTTGGACAACGTGCCAATTTAGAGAGGCATGTTCGAAATCATTTAATCAGTAAATATCATCATCATCATCATCATCAACAGCAGCATCAATACAAGCCATTATTATCACCTACATGGTCATCATCGTAATCATCCTTCATCTTTTCCACAGTGAACACAAATTTTTCCCTAGAATAACGTGATATTATATCAAGTAATTCAAATAGAGTTTATCCTATTGCTGTCCATCAATAAGACAGACATTTCTCTCTATGTATTCTTATTTAAAGCCTTTAATATTAGTGATTTTATAACTTTCTTCTCAAATCAACCCTGATAAAGAATTTTGTTGATCTTGTGTTCATATATACACATACATATATGATATAGTTACTTGATTTGATGTAATTTATGTTTGTTTGTTTGTTGTTCACATTGATGACCATGATCTTATGATTGGTTTGATCAATCAATTATGTATATCTTGTCTTCTCTTCTTTTTACGTTGTTGTTGTTGAAAAGTAGTAATAATTGGATGATGTACTCGCTTCCTTTAGTTATCTTACATAAAATACACCCTGTGTAGTGTATATCGTCTGTTATCTGTCATATTCATGAATCTATACATGCAAATATATACACATTTATATACAGTTTAATACATATACATATATATATAACAAGATAAGGAAAAGACTTCACATTGTTGATGATAAGTTGTTTTTCTCTTTTTAGATAATCCTGTAGTTATTAACAACCAACCAACCAATCAAATCAACAACAACAAACCAACGAACAATCAAACAAAAGTATCTCATATTTATCACATCCTTAAATAATATGGATAAATAAATGACTACCGGAAAACAAAATTTCTTCTTTCTTTCTTTCGTTCGGCAACCATCATTTGCATAGTGTTCATTCTGTTGACATGATGATGATGATGATAATGATGGGGTAACTGTGTCTATGTGCGTATGTTTATATCCTCAGTAGGCGTTCATTAGTAATTGTGATTATCTGATTTCTCTTATATCCTTATGATTGTTGTTGTTGTTGTTTTTAAGTCTTGTTAGGTCTTTTAAGTTGAAAAAAATTTGCAAAAATTTAATTAAATTTTCAGAGAGGTTATCAATTCACATGTCACTTGAATGGGTTTCCTGTTAAAAAAAAAGATTCTAGAAAAATATAAATTATTTCAATGAAGGATGAATCAATTGTTAGTGTATTGAATATATTAAAATATAGTTTCTTAGAAATAAGCGGATTTAATGAAGTTACATTATTTGAACTGAATGGTTTAATTATGAAGATAATGGAAACTATTTGATGTAGTTTATAATGGAATATGCATGGTTTAGTTAAATCCCAAATTGATTGAATTCAGGAATTATCTTTGTTAAACCTGAAGTTTAAGGATGAAATCCCGTGAAGTTTTACGAGTACCAATTCTATTGATTGACTTCATACTAAACCAAACAATAACTGTACAGTATTGTGTGGTTCTCATTCGTCAGTTGAATGACACAAGCTTATAGTGAAATCTCTCTTCACATTTTGAGAAAAGTTGACTATATTTCTAGGGAGAGTTTGTAACATTACGAGACTTCAGTTTTTCAAACCTATTCAGAAATACCCGTTTAGTGGAAAATACTAAAGTTACATTTAGAGTAGAACAGTGTTCTATTGACTGAAGAAACTGTAATACATTAATTAAATGAATAATATGATGAACAAAATATTTTTCATTTGAAAGGATGATTTATTCAATTTTAAAGATAATTCACATTACGAATTGACTCTAGCTATAGAATCATTGAAAACTAGAGAACTTTGTGCAACCGTTCCACCCTACTTTGTAGCTTCTCAGTATAGCAAACACGAAACCAGACCTCTTTCCAAATGCACAACTTTCAGATCAAAGAAATCATTCACATTTCTAACTATCGTAAATTAGGGGGACAGCACGACTCTTATCTGCTATCGTCTATATGATCTGGCTCGTAGTTGACAGGATTGAAATTCATCAGGACAATAAATATCTTTCATCTCTTTTAGTTGCTAACTAACGAAATTAAAGTACATGTTTATAAAATAGTTGACCTAGATTTCAATATTGATTTATGAACTTGTAGTGTTTATAGTATAAAATGTCTGGTACTATTGAAAACTTCATTTGTTATGAGACCCAGTCAGATTCCCAATTAACATAAACATTGTCATAAAAATAGCCTCAATTACTACTACGTTTTCCAGAATAAGTAACTATCAGTCAAAGTTGTGAAATAACTACAACAAATTTCACTTTAAATCAGTGACTTGAATACTTTATACCATCTATAAGATCTAAAACCCCTTATTTCTATCTAATGTGCTAAATACAGGACTCATATACCTGATGAGCAGTACTATAATTAAACTTTACCGAAACTAAACAGTTCAAGTAGCCCTCGATTAAAGAAAGTTTCGAGTGTTTCGAGGAAACGTACAGTTATTGGGAAGTTCGGACGGAATCAGCATTCAATGCATTTTTAAGATTATTATTTTAGATTTTTTTTAACTGCGTGCGTGCACTGGAATTCAAAGCTATAAACTCTCTTCCTAAATGACTAATCCCCAAGAACACCTACGAACATCAAAGTGTTTTTTCCTCAGTTCCACTGTCAATTGGATAGGCGAAGGAAGTTCCTTGTTTTGCCCCTCCGATTGTTGTGATCTGGTTCAGAAGTCTTTGGGGAAAACTATTTCCCGTTTGCTGTTACTGTTGTATTCAGTATTGAGGTGCCTCTGAAAAACATTTAACTTGACGCACATTATAAAATCAATATGATGGATTATATTCTCTTGATCTGACATTGAATTACGAACTGCAAAGTAACTAATTGAATGGAACAATTTATATCAGCCAACCTACGAGAAAACAGGTACCGTTTATAGTTTTCAAAGGTTTTCGGAGTAACTTTAAGAGATAAATGGTTTAAATCTCATACCTTCGGACAGGTTTGATACTAAGAATACTAACTAATGATGATTACTTCTTTAATAAATTTTGGATAAGATAATCGGATTGTTTGTATTCGGCTTCCTTATTCCTCAGCATGTTCAGTAGATGTTTTTAGGCCAGGTAGTTTGAGACAATCGTCAGCAACCTATAAATCTCGGATACGTGATAGTCAGTACCCGTCAGTGAAGCGTATTTGTAGCTTCTAGTTAACTAGTGCCTCCACAATACAACTTTTCTGTTCAGTATAAACAATCCCCGATCTAGGCAGTTAGATAAATTTTTATCCGACTTATTTGTCTACTTGTGAGTAGCCTAATTGTTGCCAAATAAGTTCAAATTATAAACAACTTTTATTATTTAGTGTAGAAGCGAACGTCTACATAGGAAAGAGTAGCCTTAATCTTATTCTATAGATGGATGAGATATTAGCTTAAATTAACAAGTCCAGAATTTTCTCAGCTATATTGGCAAACAGTAAGTCACGTTTCGAAATGTCAAACTTAGAGGAAATCATAAAATCGAGTCCTACATAACACATGTCCTTCCATTTTCAACACTTTCCTTTATTTCCTAACTATACCCCACCATAGTTGGTTTACAGAGATTTTGCACGTAATTTCTCCTTTTAGTGGATGAGGTTTTGTCATATTAGACTTTCTTAATGAAAATGTTTCACATATTGTTATGAACAACTTGAATGTCATTGCAGTTGTAATCAGTGGCTATACAATATTATGACTACAAAAAACATCCTACTTTTGATCTCATCTAAGATAATGTATGAACAGTGCCGAAGAGTCCTAGAGTGAAATTAAACAGAAACCTAGTTTTCTCTCGTTTCCACTGGCTTCACAGTTCTTATCAGTTATTGATGACTAACGTTTTTGTCTTTCCTGTGATGTTAGACTGGTGTCTTGACCATCCACAGCTGTCAAGAAAAAGTATACTTAGAATTCGGCCAGCGGTCGAAACCAGGATGCATTTTTCATCCTGCTTGGGAATTATCAGCCGTATGTAACTAGCGATGTTTAAACATAAGACAGTGAGTGATCCTATACTCAATTTTCCTGTATTGAAAGATGAGTCTTGGCACCATCGTCTTAGCTTCTGCTCCCATACAGGCGATAACACATTAAAACTGACCAAAGGCATGCGACCAGGCATTTAGTATAGCACAGAGCGCTTAAGAATGCCTCTACACGTTTCTTAGAACTCCCACCTCCTTATATAAATCTGTTGCCGTCTTGTTATTTGTCAACTATAGATTAGAACAATGTATAAACGAGCAATATTGTTTTCAATCACTCGAATATACAGTACTATGTATATGCACATATGAAGTTATTAAACTGATTAAGGCAGTTTATAAGTTACTAGGCGGCCTGCTTGAGCATCTGGGCTACCTGTTCCTGCCATCTAGATATTTCGACAAGTTATCTATCTTTGTTTGTTTTAATATATCATTATGTCTATTAATCACATAACCTATTCTGCTACGTTTCTGAAAAGTGTACAACCTTTCGTTGTCAAAGTTACAAAAAGCTCAAAAAGAGAGAATATTGTTGCTGGCAATATACAACGAAAAGAATGTACATTATTCAGATATTCATTTACTGGACTGTTAACATCTAGCTGGCGATCACTCAGTATTTATCGCGAGGACCGACCAAGAAGAAAGAAACGGAAACTTGTTGAAATACTTTGTGCTGAGAATTCTATATTGTACCAATAATATAATATTGAATAAAGCTAATAATAATAATAACATTGGAATAGATTACATAAATAAACAGTAAGTAGATACCTCAAATTGATAGTGTGATGGCATGTGTAATAGTAATGATAACAATAATAAAAGCTTAAATCAATGTTTCATAATAAGAAAGTAGGCCAACAACTTTAAAAAAAATAGGTATTAAAGTAACATTCATTAAAAATTATGAAATTACACAATTAGAAGTCTTCAGATAATAAGACAATGAAGCGTAAACTTGATGAAAAGGGGTAAAAAAAATCAATGAATAAATAGTATGGAAAATAATAAATAAATCAGGACTCAGTAGCTAAGTGGATAGCGCGGTGTTTGAAACGAACGGTACTGAGTTTGAGCCCAACAGTGAACATCAACTTCTGAGGTGCAGATACATTCAGCTGACGAGTTCCAAATAAGACGAAACGCGTCCTGGATTCCACTATCCAACTTTGAATAATAAATAAACCGTTTGTTAAGGCTAAATCAGCTGAGGCAGAAATGAATGAGTGGAGAATTTCTTATGAATACGCATTCAGTTTGTACCTTTTACTTACTGTTTATTAATGTAATCTATTCCACTGACCTACAAACTGCCTTAATAATTTCATATCTTCATCTAGATATTCATATATATTCGATTAAAGCCAGATAAGGATCTAATCGAAAACAATACTGTTGACATTTCGAAGTTGTTTTAATTAACAAAATGATCATAATATGAAATTATGGATACATTATACAGAAGATTTCGTATTGATGCAGTTAAACCCCAATATAATCGTCTTTTGAAAAGGTTGATTTAACGGAAAATGTGAACAAATTTAATGTATAATATACAATATTGTACATTATTTGACAGTCACAGAATAACTGCCGTTTGCCACAACATGCTAATGAGCATCATAAACGCAGAGAATTAAGAAAAAATAAAACCAAGAATATACTATTCTCAGGAATTATGCAAACCTTAGATATTTTGCAAGAATCCCTCGTACAAATGATTTTCTAAACAGTAATGATCCGTGTTCAACCGAAATCTCAGTCAA